AGGGGCGGAAGTGTCTGCGGGCACGTGCAGCACTGGGAAACTCATAAAATCCTTGCTGGCTACAGAAATGTATGGGGTTGGGGAATAGTTGCCAGGCTGGTGTTAGTGTTTTCTCTGAACCTTCGTGGATCCCGAAGGGCCCTACGTGGAATGTTCCTGTGAAGTTTCAGGAATGTCAGTGTTCTGTGGAATGCTGTGCCCTCAACACTGTGCCTCGCCCAGCATACGGACTCCATACATTTCTTTGCCAGACTTGCACTAAGCACTTTCCAGCCTACATGATCATCCTCATGTGGGTGGATTCCTAGACAGTCAGCAGATCACCTCTCTCTGGAGTGTGGTGATGTGTGTGCTGTTGAGTTTATGACAGCCACGTACGTGGAAGACTCAGTCCCAGCTCTGCTGGGCGCTGGCCTGCAGTGTGGTGGCCTCCCCACCCTGGGGTGTAGGGGGAGCAGGTGAATTCAGGTCCCTCAGCCTCACTCTGTAACCCGTGTTACAGTTGAACCATGTGCATGGAATAAGACATAGGCTTTCTTCCAAGGCACTGCTGGGTAGATTTGAACAGCCAGCCTTTTGGCTAGTATAGTCAGGTGCACAGACTGGCAGTAATCCTTGACCCCTTTATTTTGAGGGTAATCCTCTTGGACCTGCTGACTGGGGGAAAGGGAGAGTTCAGAAAAGCCCCTGGTGGAGGGAGGAAACTAATCTGATTTAGCACATCTGCTGGTCGCTTGGTCAGAATAGATTGTCAGCTGCCAGCTATGCCCTGGAGGGTCTCGGTGCCACCCCTCAGCACAATGCTCATTTCTCTCCAGCTATACCATCCTTGCTACCTGCTGCTCTGGGGAAGAAAAGAGCTCGTGCTTCCTGAGTGCATGCTGACAAAGTTAGCACAAGTCGGCTCAAAGCTTAGGGAGAAATCTTGGCAGTTTTGCAAGTGATTCTTTTTTCAAAATGAATGAACAATACAATATAATTGAAAAAAAAATTAGGTTATACCAGTAATCAGAAATCACCAGAGGATAATTAATGCAAATGGCTTAAAATTATACTATCCAGAAAGAACCATTCTTCCATTCAATGAATATTTTATTAGACATCTGTTGTGGCCAGGAATGCCCAGGATGGTGCAGATGAGTAATGGACTCAGCTGCTGATTGAAAGTTTGGAGGCTCAAGTCCACTCAAAAACACTTGAAAAAGAAAGACTTAGAAGTCTGCTATGAAAAAAATCAGTCATTGGGAGTATAGGAACATTATCCTAGTGTGACACACATGGGGTCCCCTGAGTTGGAAACAACTGGAGAACATCTGATGTGTGCTCTGAGCAGACACCATGCTGGGGACTGGAGGTGAGCAGTGACAGGGTCAGATAAGCCCCATCTTCATGGAATTGAGCCGGATACCGATCACAGACGTTAAACATATAATCCGTTGTAAGTGTCCCTACATGACAGGGAGCTCTGGTGGCCTAGTGGGTAAGGAATTCCCCTACAAACCCAAAGACAGGCAGTTTGAATCCACCCGATGCTCCAGAAGGGAGAGATGGGCAATCACTTCCCATGTATTGTACAAACTCTGAAAACCTGGTTTGAGTCACATTCAACTTGATGGCGATTGAATTTTCCTAAGGAGTCTGGGAAAGGGCAGGGGACATTCCATGTGGCTGGATCTTTCTCGGGGTTGGAGTCGGGGGCACTACTGGCAGCTTGAGGATGCAGGGCAGCCGCCTGAGGACACAGAGTAGCCAGGTTAGAGCAGAGCAGCCACGCCTCTCCCCTAGGATTTCCAGCTATGCCTGAGGCTCTTCCTCCCTGGGCTGCTTTGACCTTGTGTCCTCCTGCCTGAGCTCTTTGGGGGTGGCTCCTCCAAGGCTGTGCCTCTGAGCAGCAGGGCTGTGGAGGAGAACCAGGGATTGGCTGTCACCTGCAGCTTCTCTGGGTTCTCCCTTTACAGACATCCCACCCATCACGGGCCGGAGCTGCTCTCTGCACAGTCTCTACCTACACTTTTAGTTTCTTAGTGCTTCTGTGGCAGAAGTACCACCATTGTGGCTTTATCAAACAGAAATTTAGGTTCTCACAGGAAGCTTGGAAGTCTGGAGCTCCAGGCACTGGCTTTAGAAAAAGACTTTCTCACTGTGTCAATTCTAGAAAAATTCAGCTTCTTGTTGGCTGTTTCTGTGGAAATCTTTATGTGGTTCCTTTCTTCTGTGTGTGATCTGTCCTTTCATGTTTTAAAAGTGAGTGTTAATAAACAATTTTGGAAAGTTAACAGGCAAGGAAAGGAGAGGGGGTTATTAATAAGCAGGTAAGTTGGGTAAAGTGAAAGGCAGTACACAGTAAATGATTGTTGTTGTTATGTGTTGTCAGGTTGAAACAGATTCCTATCAGACCCTCCAGCCAGTTTACAGAGGCTGTCAATCGCATGGGAGGGATTTCTCCTACTCGATGGTGCATAACAACACAACAAATCTCATAGGAAGAGACTGACAGTCTTTCTTCCATGGGGCAGCTGGTGGATTCAAAATGCTGCTCTTTGGGTTGGTAAGCCAACTCCCTACCTGTTCGGCCACCAGAGTTCCCTAAGGTGTTCTTTAGACAATAAAATTTATTAATTGTGCTGTGAATGTATGAAAAAAAATCTACATGGTTTGTAGGCCTTCACTCAAAGGGGAAAAAATTAGAAGACAAAATTAACTAAGACACTGATAGCTCTTCATTAACACAACTGAAGAAACCCTGTTCCTTGTTAGATTACACTCACAGGCATTGTTGTCGTTGTTAGGTGCTGTCAGTCCAGTCTGACTCAGTGACATATGATCAACAGACCTGAACTCTGCCCCGCACTGTCCCATCCTTATCATCCCTGACATACTCAAGTTTAGGTGTTAGAATTTACAGCACATCATTCTGGGGGGAACACAGGTCATAGCATTCACTTAGAGGGCTGTTGCCAGGGGCTCTGAAGATGAGGTGCCTGGCATCACAGAGTCAGTATTTCTCTTTGTTGTATGACATGTTTTGAGGAACTTCTCAGAACTGCGTTGAATGCACTGTAGGCATAGTCTGTCAAGATTCTTTCATTATCTGTCCTCAAAGCGTGAAAGTCTCATGAGAACTGGGTCAGGAGGCACCTGCAGCTGGGAGCAGGTGTGTGAAGCTCAGTGTCAGTCCGTCAGTTGTCAGATGTGTATTTCGAGGTCAGCCGGGCCTCCCGCCACCTCCTCTTAACTCTTTCAGCAGCTGTCTGTGCTCTGAGATTGGACTTGGAGGACAGAGGTGATCAGACCAAGGCCAGGCCCTCAGGTACTTCCCACCTTCTGTGGATGTTGGAGAGGGGGACCATGGGCCAGGAAGCTTCCCCAAGGCTGTGCCTTGAAGGTGTAGGGCAGGTGGAGGTCGGCTGGTTGAGGAGAATAGGGTGTTCACAGAACCACAGCCAGCTGTGGCCTGGTTCTCGAACATGAGGCGCTTGAAAGCTAGTGAGGTACCCACTCAGCAGCTCACCCCTAGGACCCGGGGCCTGACCCAAGCCTGACTCCCACCTGCAATTGGTGGCATCCTGTGGCTTTCTCTGGCCACTGGACCTTATTCTGCTTTTCTGAGTTAGACCAGAAATGTGGGAGAAGCATTGCTCCTGAGAGTAGTCCACAGTCAGACTTCTGAGAGTCCCTTTGGTCATTGGGTAGGATAAGTCTGTGTTTTGTCCTGTTTCTCAGAACCTCCCAGCAGTATGGAACTCCAGCTGAACACTGATGAGTGGCTTGATAATTGGCCTTTCTTTACTATTGACCCCACACCCCTGTCTCTGCCACCTGCTAGGGTTTCCCAGCCTCACCTTTCAGGCAGGCTTTTTCTAAGGGAACCCAAGCTAAGACGCCTTTACAGAGCTCGAGCTCAGTGCTGAGGGCAGCAGGGGCTGCTCAAGGGCTTTTATACATCCAGAGGATGAGGGTCAGGTCTATAAGGTTTTTCTCACTGTGGCCCAGAGGTTGGGTTGTTGAGGGCCAGGCAGTGACCCAGCCTATAACCAACCTTAGACTTTGGCAGTGGTGATTGAGCTCCTTCGTGTTGCAGATGCTGGGCTACAATTTGATGTGCATTTTCTCATCAGTTCTAACCAAAAGGGTGGTTGTTGTTTTTGTTGTTATTGTTATGTGGTACTGAGTCAGCTACAACTCATAGTGACCCATGTAGAACAGCTCTGAACCCTGCTCTATTTTGAGCCAATTTCATTTTCTCTGACACACCTACTCCCATCATCTCAGTTACTGTGTCACTCCATCTCCTCCTGGATCTTCCTCTCCTGCACTGTCCTTCCACCCTTCCAAGCATCATGTGTCCTTCTCCAAGGGCTGGTTCCTGTGGGCAACAAGCCCAAAGTATGTGAGGTGGAGCCTCAAAATCCTTGCCTCCTAGGAGCAACTTGGCTTCACCTTTGCCAGGACAGACCTGTTTATTCTTTTGGCAGTCTATGGTATGTTCAGTAGTCTTCTCCACCTCCACAGCTCAAAGGCATCACTTCTTCTTCTGCTATCCTTATTCATTGTCCAGCTTTCTGATGTGTGGCAAGTAATTGCAAAAACCATGGCCTGAATCAGATTTCTGAGGCTCTCAATTTTAATAGGAAAGGATTACACATCCATCTAGTGGGTTTGAACTTCTGAACTTTTACTTGGTAGTGCAGCGTGTAAGTCACTACGCCAACAAGACACCTCTTAAGGTGCTGTTATAGGTTCTTTTATAGGCTCTGTCTCTATCCTATTTGCAGATGAGGAATTTAGGCACTGAGAGATTCAGACACGTGCCCTTGATCACATGACTAGAAGCAGCAACATAGAGACTTAAGTCTGGCAGGTCCAGGATATGCACTCTTAGTCCTTTTGCAGTATGTACTTTCAGTGTGCTCTCTCTCCACCTATCCGGGCATGGTGGGCCTCTGGCTTCCTGGGTATAGGGAAATGCTGTCTTCCAGTAACCTGTGCCTCTCCCACAGGTAAGTTCGAGGATCGAGAAGATCACGTACCCAAGTTGGAGCAAATAAATAGCACACGGATTCTAAGCAGCCAGAACTTCACCCTCACCAAGAAAGAGCTGCTGAGCACGGAGCTGCTGCTCCTGGAGGCCTTTGGCTGGAACCTCTGCCTGCCCACGCCCGCCCACTTCCTGGACTACTACCTCTTGGCTGCTGTCAACCAGAAGGACTCCCACTGCCACAGCTGGCCCACCTCGTGCCCCCGCAAGACCAAAGAGTGCCTCAAGGAGTATGCTCACTACTTCCTAGAGTTCACCCTGCAAGGTGAGAGAAGCAAAGAAGGGGCCTCCATGTTGGGACCTTTCACGTCTTGGCCCTCAGCATAGCACCAGGGTCAGGAATGCTGGGAGGTGTGTCCACCCTGCAGTCACGCCCACTTTGCTGTAGGTAAAATGAGGGATGAGCAAAGATGTGGTGACTCCCCTGATGTGCTTCCAGTAACCTCTAAAAGAAAAATAGGAGTTTATGTACATGCATAATATACTAATACACTACCACCTTATCAGTAACCTGTGGCTCTTCTTATGGTGACATTGCAAATGATTGAGGTAGCACAGATTCACAGCGGGGGCGATCCCAAAGAGCTGTCAGCCATATAGACAGGATGCACAGAGAGGATGTTCTTTACTTCTCCTTGCTAAGCAACCAAGGTTGCTAAGCAACCAAGGGGACCCCTGTTTGAGGACTTTTACCAGCAATCCTCTCCTCTTAGTGCTTCTTAGCTATCTTTTATTCCAACTGGTTGCCACCAAATTGATTCTGACTCATACCAACCCCACATGTGTCAGAGTAGTGTGTGCTCCACAAGGTTTTCAGTTCTTGACTTTCAAAAGATCACCAGGCATTGCTTCTGTGGTGCTTCTGAGTGGACTTAAAACTGGCAGTCTTTCAGTTAGCTGCCAAGTTTGTTAACCATTCACACGCCTTGAGAGGGATTTACAGGTAAAATACCCGGCTAGAAATTTACAGCCACTCAGGCAACCAAAATGGTCATGAATAACAACAGCAATGATAGTGACAAAATCCACTGTCTTCAGTTCAGTTTCAACTCATGGTGACTTTCCATTGAGTTTTTGAGGCTGTAAATCTTGAAGGTAGTATAATACCTGTTCTTCTCTTGTGGATTGATTTGTGGGTTTGAACCTCTGACCTTTCATTTAGCAGCCCAACACATAACATACACTCACACCAGGGCTTCTTGGTGAGGGTGATCTAAAGAAACTGCTATCAAGTCAGTGCTGGCTCGTAAAGATCCTTTATTGAGTTTCAGAAGCTGTACACCATGTCGGGAGCAGACTGCCTGTCTTTCTCCTCCAGAGCTGCTGGTGGATTCGCCCACCCGAGCCAGATGGCCTTTTGGGTTGGCAGCACAACTGCCTGTGGACTACACCACTGGAGCGCCCTAATCCTAGTCATAAGTAAAGAGTGATCGTTACTAAGCCCTTAGTGTGAGCCTTGCTTCAATGCTTTGTGCACATTGCCTCCTTCCAGCTTCAGTGTTGCATGTGAAATTTGTTAAGTAACATATCCAGGGCTATTGCTAGAGTTTGAACCCACTGAGTCTGACTCCATTACTGTGCTTGTCACCATCATACATACCATTAATCCTGATGGCTTTGGTCAAAGAGAAATGTTGAAGTAGTTGACAATCATGAAAACATTTAAGGCAGCATAATAACACACTGATAACCAGGCATCTCTTTGCCTTTATACAGATACAGATCAGTTTTGTCCCATCATCCAGCATCTCTGGGGAACATTGACTAAAAATCCCCAGTAAACCTTGGTGCTGATTTTAATATATGAATATCAAACTCTTACTTCCATTCATGCATTTCTTCATCAGATTTTTAGTTAATACCTATCATGAGTTAGCTGCTGCAGTGGACTCAAGGATGTCTGTGATTGTGAGGATGGCCTAGGACCAGGCGCTGTTTGATTCTGTAATGCTTAGGGACACCGTGAATTGGAAACAGCTTGACAGCATCTAACAACAGCTGTGGGTCAGGAATTATAAATAGCCTTTGCTGTTGCTAACTGGTATCACGTCAGCCCCTGACTTGAAAGATTCACATACAACAAAACAAAGCGATCCCCGCTCCTGCTCCATGGTAGTGATCAGCACACCAGACTCTCGATATCGTGGAGCTTTTTCATTAGTAAATTAGTGTTGTTGTTGTTGTTGTTGTTGTTATGTGCCGTCGAGTCGCCTGCGACTCATAGCGACCCTGTGTACAACAGCCCTAAACTCCGCTCTGTCCTGTGCCAAT